TTTCTTATTAGGTACTTCCCATGAAAGGCATATGAATCAAGCAAATGATAAGCAAATGTTTTTAGGGTATTAATTGATTCATCGGGAGCCTCCATCTTTTTGAATTTTCCAGTTAACTAAATTTTTATTTAAGAATGAATCCCTGTACATCATCTTGTATTATTTCATATTTCCCCAGATGTATGATTACAAATTCAACTCGTTTTCTCATGTGAAATTAATTTGTGATTCTTTGAAGCTTGCTAAATGATGCATTTTTTACTACTAAGTTATCTGTAACAATCTCCCCATTAGGGAAAAAAGCTCTTTGAGTCTATCCTTCTGTGTGTGACCAAATTCCAAATGTGTGATGAGTCTACATAGGGAAAAAGTGACACTCAGAGAAAATGATTTGCAGCTTCGTGTGCTTGGCAAGTACATTCTTAAGTGTAAATTCTACATCTTAGGCAAAGTGAGCCTAATTTTGATCAGTTATTTAGTTAAGCTTTTTATACCAAATTCCCAAGCAATGAAATGGTAGAAACATAGAAATGTGTGATGCCGTTACCATTAGTTACAAGTCAGCCATTTAAAAGAGTGAAACAGGAGTGTTTTGATTTCGAAAGTTAATTTTGAAAGTTAGTGCCTGGTTTCCTGTTTTCTAGATTTGCTGTGCGTATATATTTTCTTTCCTTCCCTTTTCCTGTCTTTTCACTTTTGCTTCTATATCTCATGTTTATTAGGAAATATGAGGAAAAATTGTACACGTAAAAAACTTGCCAAAAGCCAGTTTCTTGGCAGAAACTAAGCAATAGATCCTATGGAGGGAGCATGTCTTTGATTTTGTATTCTCCTAGTGCAGAGAAATAGCTCAGGTGATGCTTGTTGAATATGGAGTACATGGAAATTGGAAGCACCTGTATTTTTTCTAAGTAACTTTTTCTGTAGTTATAGGTATTTCCTGTTACGTGATTAAAAAAATTATTAAAGTCTCAAATGTACAGTTGCGGTCCATCTTAATTTTATTTTCATTATGTTGCTAACAGTGGCAGTTTTAAATATGGCACTTTTTTGTAGGCTAACATAGCTTTCCTGTTATTTTCCTGTTATTGCTTATATACATTTTGGGGCGGGGGAGGCTGTGTGGCTCAGTCGGTTAAGCATCGACTCTTGGTTTCGGCTCAGGTCATGATCTCTTGGTTTGTGGGTTCTAGCCACAAGATTGAAGTTTTTATAAATAAAACTATGTCCCATTCTTTTCCACTTATTTAATCTACTATTTTAATAGTATAAATATTTTATTTTTTTAATGTTTATTTATTTTGAGAGTGAGAGAGAGTGCGAGTATGAGCAGGGGAGAGGTGGAGGGAGAGAGAAGATCCCAAGCAGGCTGCACACTCAGCACAGAGCCTGACGCGGAGCTTGATCTCACAAACTGAATCGTGAGATCATGACCTGCGCCAAAGTCAAGAATGGGGCGCTTAACTGACTGAGCCACAGTCATCCCAATGGTATAAATACTGTAAAAATAGATTTCATAGCTTTATAGTCTGACCCACCAAAGTGTCTATTTTTGAGTAAGCCACAGTTACATGATAGCTTTTTAACTATAAAAATGGCTTTTATCAAGTAGAATGGCAGGTTTTACTTCATCACTGTTTTCTAGAATGTTTCAGATTCTTTTTATCTTTAACATTTCTTATTGCCTCTATTTTTTTTCCCCCTTCTGTTCGGTCCTTGACTCTCCTTTTGATTGTTTTCTCCTGACTTCCTATCCTTCTCTGTTTCCTCTTTGTTTTAATCCCCTCATTTTTATATCGGCCTCTTTCTTAACTTTTCTTTTACAGTTAGCTCCTTTTAGATGTCTCACTGTCATATCAAACAGCCTTATCCAAATTTACATTTATGATCACAAAGTGACCTCTCTTCTCAACTGCACTGTGTGTTTAACACTGCCCCACCATCAGACACCAGGAATTAACAGTCCCAAGCCATGTGGGCTGTAATCCTTTCTTCTATCACCCCTGATTTCCTAATTCCCACTGATTTTTCATGACAACGCCTCCTGTCTCTCTCCTCTTCCATATTTCCTACCACTTTCGTATTCTAGGTCGTACCACCTCATACCTAGATTATTCCGAGACTCCTTTCCACCTGGCCCTGTGCTGACCAGTTTATTTTGTGTATGTCTCTGAGCTTCATCTAATGTAAAGCTTTCTGTAAAAAGCTGAGCTGAGAATCTCGTTACACATCCCTCTTACATCTCACAACTATCAGAGTGCCTATTTATGTGCCAAACATGCTTCTCAGGGCTGGGCGTGGAAAAGTGAACAAAACAGCATATCCTGGTTCATGCTCTCTGGGAGCCTGTGTTGTGTTCTGATGGTGGGTGGGGCTGAGGAGGGAGAGAGAGAAGACATGGAAGTGAACAAGGTAATTCTGGTGTGTGATGGAGTGTGGTGGTATGGTGGGAGTATTTTTAGGTTAGGTGCTCAGGCTGACTTCTTTGGGTGGGTTTTATTTGAACAGAGACATGAGGACCACTGGGACCAGTCAGGTTGGGAAAAATAGGAGAGAAGAAAATAAGTAGGTGAGAATATTCTGGAAAACATTTTAATGCATGGGAGGCTTTCCATGCCTTCCCAGAATGAAGTGACAAGACAGTCTTTAAGGTAACCATTGTGTTCAGGGGTGCCTGGGAGGCTCAGTCGGTTAAGTGTCTGACTTGGCTCAGGTCATGATCTCATGGTTCATGGGTTCAAGCCCCACATCAGGCTCTGTGCTGACCGCTCAGAGCTTGGAGCCTGCTTGGAATTCTGTGTCTCCTCCTCTCTCTGCCCCTCCCCTGCTCATGCTCTGTGTCTCTCTCTCAAAAATAAACATTAAAAAAAAAAAAGTAACCGTTGTGTTACCTTTCATACATGATTAATACATGATCATAGTAGCATCTGGGCATCATGGGGAGGGGAAAGAGATAGATTGTTACAAAGAGACCTGAGAAACTACTTGCTGTATATAGTAGGTGTGATTCTTTGCTCAGTTTGCTGTTTCATGGAGCCCATTCATGCCTATGGGACAGGAATTACATAGCAAAATAAAACTGATATAGATGAAAAATTCCATCATTGGAGTGATTTTTTTTTTTTTTTTTCATTTTAACTTTTAGTTTTTTTAATCTGTAATTTCTCTTCTCTGTTCAGAAGCAGCAAAGACTTTGTTTGGCCAATTTATTTCTGAAATTTTCCAAAAGATCTGTTTACTGGAATACTGAGATAAGGAGTCACACTTCTATATTTGATGGCCAGAGATTAAATCCCAAATCTGTCCAGACATCTCAGGCTTCCAAGTACTGGCCATAAGATGTAAGAGCCTGGGTCTGGGCCAGAGCCTCCAGAGTGTGGCTAAATCCGGCAGTTGCCAGGAAGATAAGGAAGAGAACTGACTGGAAGTAGTTTGACAGTAAAAGCAGGTCAGAAGAGCCTTGGATTTAGTTGTATTCATAAAGAAATGCATTTTTTTTTTTTTTTTAATTTCCAGCTTCTGTACCATAAGTTCTTGATTTGGGCCTATGAGAATCTGAGGTTTCACTGGACATTTGGGTTTTTTTAGACACTCTTATGTGAATTGTTAGTTGGTGATTCCCATGGCAATACAGATTAACCTTTATGCAAGGAATTATTCATTCATTCTAATTATTTTAGTATTTTTAAAAAATACTTATTTTTGACAGAGAGCATGAGTGGGGAGGTGCAGAGAGAGAGGGAGACAGAGGATCTGAAGCAGGCTCCTTACTGACAGCAGAGAGCCTGATGTGGGGCTTGAATTCATGAGCTGTGAGATCACCGCCTGAGCTGTAGTTGGACACTTAATCGACTGAGCCACCAAGGCGCCCCCATTCATTCCGTTTTAAAAAGTGTGTCCATTATCCACTCTGTCACTGATTATACGATTATGCATATGTTTGAATAAATCAGATGTTGTGTTAATGCTGTGGATTCTGTTACAGGCTTTATAGGAAAATGTTAATCTTTTATGTCTGGTCTGCTTCAACTAAATTTGGCTTGATACTTGACTGTTAGTGGTAGGTATCCAGTGATGTGTATCCTTATTAAAGCTGCTGCTTTTTTCTGAAATTTCACACTATTTTTCAAACCATCGTGCTGCAGACTGACAAGTCTGTGACATTTAAGGTGTTTGCTTAAATTCTTGACTTGTGTACTTCTTCAGGTACTTCTTCAAATTTTTAGTCATGTATCATTTTTTTTCCTTGGAGGAAGCTATCATCTTGTAACAATTCAGTTGCTCTAGGGCTGGGAATCTAGTTACCTTGTATGGCATTATGGCAAAGGAGTACCCAATGGACAGATAATGGTAATGTTAGAGCTTTTCACTCAATAATGTAAATTAAACTGTACAGATAACATTTTAGCTGAATTTGGAGCAAAGTGCTTAATAATGTTTTCTATATTCCCAGAAGCATGTGATATTTACTAGTTTTACCTTTATTATTATTACTTTTGTGTAGTTTGCATGATTAACTTACCAGTGTCAGAAAGACTAAAATAAATATTGATTTTTTCAATATAGGTGTATTGAAACAAATGTAGTGCTTAAAATGACAGTCCTTCAATAAACCCTCATTTGGCATATACCACAAGTAAAGCGCTTTGCTAGGTGCTTTGCAAGATTCAGAAATAAGTCAGATGTGTTTCCATCAGGATCTTTGAAGTTGTCTGGGAGATTATAACTTTCTGAAAAGGAACTTCCAAAGTGACCTACAGTGGCTTTGCCTAGGGTGGAAGTGGTGGGGGGGAGTGTCACCACAGACACTTTACTAAGAATGTTTTATCACCAGGGTCACAAATTTGAAATTTATTCCCTGGTTTAAAAAACTTTTTTTAGTAACTAATATAAATACTGGTTACATTTAAGGGCTGTCCCTAATGTTTATGCTGTTTTAAATCTTTTATTTGAACTTCTCTTGTGTGTTATTGTAAACTCCTATATTACTTTCTCTCCAGTTTGCTACAAAATGGTCAGTTTGAAATTGTGACAGGTGGCTGGGTTATGCCTGATGAAGCTGCTCCACATTATTTTGCCTTAATTGACCAACTAATTGAAGGACATCAGTGGCTGGAAAAAAATCTAGGTATGTATTAATGTCTTTCTCCTTCATTTGGACAACTTTGGGCAGTTAATTTGGGGGAACATGAGATGAGGCTTTATTTATTTTTTTTTTAAATAACCAGTTTTCCCAGTATTTTTTATCCCTCATCAATTTACGATGTTTATTTGATCATAAGCTAAGTTACATAAATGTAATATGGTCACTTTTACAGTCATCTACTTTGTAATCTATTATTTTATGTATTATTCTTATTAATTTTAGAGTAGTTTTTTTCTAATAATATCCCACTGGGGTTTTAGTTTTATATTAGTTAAAACTATTAGTTAGAAGAGGCAAAAGTCTAATTTACTTGCCTAAGAAAAAAAAGCAAAAGAAGAATGAAAAGAAGGTATTCGTTTTGTCATTGAGAATTACAGAGATATATATGGTAACTTCAGGTATGGTTGGATCCAGGGGACTCGAATTTTGTTGTCTAGGCACGGTCTCTTTTGGTTCTGCTTATTTTTTCATGGCTTTCATCTTCTCCTGGCTCTCTCCACATGGTGAGTAAGATGGCCATAGGCAACTAGGACTCTCATCTTCCTAGTCGAACCAGGAGAAGTTTTCCTTAACGCCTTAACTAATTGGCTCACTTTGGATTAAGTGCATAACCCTGAGTCAGTTTCTGTGGCTAGAGGTATAGGAGCTGAAATCACCAAGGCCTAGTCAGCTCTTGGAAATGGTCATGGGGCGGAAGGGTTTGTTGAAGGCAGGGTAAGCCTCACCTGAACCACGTGAATGGGTCGTCCACGAAAGAAGAATCCTGTTACTACTGGAAGAGGATGCTGCACTGATAAAATCAGATGTTCACTATAACTTGTTATGTGTTAATAATTGGTAAATCTGGTTGAAAACTTTATCGGAGTTCTTCATATGATTCCTACACCTTTTCTCAAGTTTGAATTCTTCCAAAATAAAAATAAAGAATGAATGGGGGTGGCAGGGGTTTTAGCTGAATAGTGTGTTGTTTGGAAATACCACATTTGTTTCTCCATTTTTCAGTTGATGGACATTTAGATTATTCCCCTTTTGGCTGCTGTGAATAATGCTGCTATACACACTTGTGTAAGTTTTTGTGAGGACATACGTTTTCATTTCTTTGGGGTACATACCTAGGAACGGAAGTGCTGGGTCATTGGGCAGCGTGCTGTGTTAAGCATTTTGAGGAGCTGCCTAATTGTTTCCAAAATGACTGCACCCTTCTACGTTCTCACCAGCAGTGTAGGAGGGTTCTAATTTCTCCACATCTGCAGCAGCATTTGTTACTGTCTTTTTTATTTTAGCCATGCTAGTGAGTGTGAAATGGTACCTCATTATGGCTTTGATTTGCATTTCCCTAAAGACTATGATGTTAACCATTTTGTCACGTGTGTATTGGCTGTTTGTATATCTTGTTTGGAAAATTGTCTATTCAAGTTATTTGCTGTTTTTACAATTGGGTTCTTTGTCTTTTTATGTTGACTTGTAAGTGTTCTTTATATATTCTTCATACAAGTTTCTTGTCAGACAATGATTTGCAAATATTTTTTTTCCATTCTGTGGGTTTTCAGTTTCTTGAAGGTGTCCTTTTTTTTTTTAATTTTTCTTAATATTTTTAAAATATTTATTTATTTTTGAGAGAGAGAGAGAGAGAGAGGGAAACAGAGTGTGAGTGTGTGTGTGTGGGGGGGGGATGCACAGAGAGAGAGGGAGACACAGAATCTGAAGCAGGCTCCAGGCTCTGAGCTGTCCGTACAGAGCCCAACACAAGGCGCGAACTCACGAACCGTGAGATCATGACCTGAGCAACCGACTGAGCCACCCAGGTGCCCCATGAAGGTGTCCTTTGATGCACAAAAGTTTTGATTTTGATGAAGTCCAGTTTATTTTTTCTTTTGTCACTTGTGTTTTGATGTCATAACCAAGAAGTCATTATCTAACCCACGATCATGAACTCTGTGGGTTTTTTCTTAGAAATTTTGTGGTTTTAGCTCTTAAATTTAGATAATGAATACATTTGAGAATATGAAGTTTCTTCTGGTGGGCTTTGGCTGCATCTTGTAAATTCATGTTCTGTTTGTTTTCTAAACAGTTTGGAACAACATGTTATTTTGGATACTTTATATTTGGCCATGGAATGCTTTTTTAAATTGTTTAGGTTTTTGTTGTTAATTTCTGCTTTTATGAACTTTATTACACTAATATGATCATTAGAAACTTTTTTTTAAGTTTGAGTTTTTCAGATTGTCTTTTGTCCAAAATACCCATTTTTATAATTGTTCCCTGACTTGTCTTATGTTTTAATACTAAATGTACTTGAAATAATCCAGTTTTATTAATTATATTATTCATATTACTCAGGTTCTAATTTTTTTTTTATTTATATATGAAATTTATTGTCAAATTGGTTTCCATACAACACCCAGTGCTCATCCCAAAAGGTGCCCTCCTCAATACCCATCACCCACCCTCTCCTCCCTCCCACCCCCCTCAGGTTCTAATTTTTAAGTCTGTTAGGTTTGCCAGAAATTGAGTGGTGTACTTATTCTTTTCAATGATGCTTTCTTGTTATTTTTCCTAACAGTTTTTACTTTTATATATTTTGGCAATCTTAATCTTACTTTAATAGCACAAAATCTTTTTCATGAAAGGAGGTAAGAGCTAGGCAGAGACCTATAAAGGATGCCAGTACTGTGCTAGGTTTTCCTTGGTACAGCACATATTTTTTTTAGGAGGAGTTAAGGAGCAAATTGAGGTAAAAGTGTAGCATAAAACAAATCCAAACTTTTATAAAGAGGTCATGTTTGCCCTGGGGCGCCTGGGTGGCGCAGTCAGTTAAGCGTCCGACTTCAGCCAGGTCACGATCTCGCGGTCCGTGAGTTCGAGCCCCGCGTCGGGCTCTGGGCTGATGGCTCAGAGCCTGGAGCCTGTTTCCGATTCTGTGTCTCCCTCTCTCTCTGCCCCTCCCCCGTTCATGCTCTGTCTCTCTCTGTCCCAAAAATAAATAAACGTTGAAAAAAAAAAAAAAAAAGAGGTCATGTTTGCCCTCTTGTGCAGGCTTGCACACATGTGTGTGTTATAAAGCCATAAGTTAGTACTGATACCTCATGTTTCAGTTCAGGATCACAAAGTACATCCTGCTTTCCCACATTTACATATTCTGTAGTTGCTTTTCTTAACAGTGTGAAACTTGGCTCCCTTGTCTGAATTTGCTCAATCTCAGAATGCATGAAAAGCAGCTCCAGAATTCGTTAAACCCATACCACCACAAAAAACCCAAAAATACTAAATAGGGTTTAGGATTTCTTTACAATTTTTAGAGGTAAATTACATATGTGAAATGCAAAAATACGTGGGCAGTTCTTTGAGTTTTGACAGATGCTCTTGGCCCTCTGAGAGTTCTGACTTTTTCTTACCAGTCTCTTTTGCCGGCTTCTCATCTCTGTTCATCTTCAGGATTGTTCTCCAGAGTTCTTCCCTCTCCTCTGTTTTCTGCTACTCTGTGTTATACCTATTTGCATGATACTTTGTGCTGTTGGGATCAGGATTAACTCCTGTTTTAACCCTAGAACCTCTCATAGCCTTAGGTTTATGGAAGGTGCTAAACTGGTGTTTGAGTAAAAAAAAAAAAATGCACAAGGTAATACTACTTATGTAGATTTATATAGGTTGTATGTAGAAGTTTTCTTTGAGTGTACTGAATAAATAAAAGATGAGGTTTGTATAATGCCAGGTAAATAATCATATTTCATTAATCCAGTCTTTACATTTATTATGTTTATTTTTTACATTGTATCCTTGGAGAAATGGAGGTGTTTCTTTAGTCGATAGCTCTTATAATTGATGTGAGTCAATTGTGAAAAATTCCATTGATCCTTTCTAGGTGGAGAGAAAGCACCAGCATCAAAATGTCTTAAGATTTAACGAAATACGAAACAGTTATTTGGGCCAGTTCTGCCACTGCATAATAAGATGATACAGAACTGTTGTGAAGTATGAAAGATGGCCTACAAATTCCTTAACTTGGGATTGAGGAGTACAAGTTGAAATGAGTTAGCGTACTTTTCTTTATTCTGTAACATCAAGTTGCTGGGTTGTCCAACTCAAAGCAAAACAAGACTGTGAGGTCTTAGAGGGCAGGGCAGGGGTTAGGTCCTGTTTGTTTCTCCAGCTTCCCTGCATGGCAGTAGCTTGCTAATACCTATTAAAGATGGCAGAGTGCTTCTTTCAGCTCGTTGATTAACCTACTGTGCGATTCCCCTGCCTGGGAGGACATGACAGGGCCAGGATCCTTTCCTCTGGGAGCCCTGCTGGGATGTTTGCTAAAGGGGAATGAATGCTGGGCAGATCGTTTGTCCTCAGACCTGGAATACCACAAAACTCTGATGGCTCTGACGGTAATGTGACTTCTTTTCATGTCATTGTCAGTTAAAAAAATAACACTTATTTTCTTTATCAACAGGAGTGAAACCTCGGTCTGGTTGGTCTATTGATCCTTTTGGACATTCCCCAACAATGGCTTATCTTCTTAAACAGGCTGGATTTTCTCACATGCTTATTCAGAGAGTTCATTATGCAGTTAAAAAACATTTTGCATTGCATAAAACGCTGGAATTTTTTTGGAGACAGAATTGGGGTATGTAGGGTTTGATGAACGTGGAAGGTCTCCCTTGACCTAGATGTTATTTCATAAGGGTTATGAACTCAGGCTGTTACAGGTTTTATTCAAAGTGTCAGTCTTGAAAATTAGGTTGCTTACAGACACAGATTCTTAGAATTTATTCCCCAGAGTTTTTGTGTTAAGACTCTTTTAAGCAATGGTGAAGATATTTATCTATAGAACATTGTGGATTCTTTTTTACACCTAAAGGAAGTAAATAAATGTAAGGAATTAGTCTTTTGTAAATGCTTTTTTTTTTCTGTTTTAAAAAGAACCTGTTTTATACAAAGTTGAACATGTGTTATATCTTATATCCAGTCATTTATTTCATGTTCAGCCTCTGTTTCCTTCTTCTGTCTTTCCTGTCTGCATCTAGTAAGAATTGCCTTTTAAAACCTTAATCCTGCCCTCCTAGAACAGCCTTCCTGTTATCTGTACTGCTGTTCTCACGTTGTATTCTGTGGGTGCACAGGTGTTCCAAGGTCAGACTTTCGCAGCTCTTGGCTGGGGGTGGGGAGTTGAGGAGAAGACAAGATTTAGGCTTCTTAAGATGTTTTTGCCTTTCCCAACACCCATTTAATTCAGAATACTTTATTATTTCTTCTTTATTGAGTTTTTATTATGGGCCATGCATTGTATTGTATGCTTTATATCCACTCTCCCACTGAATCTTTATCCTTTAAATTCAGTTCTCTTATAATTCCTTTTAAATGGTGAAGGAATGGATGCTAGGAACGTGAAGCCATTTGCCAAAAGTCATAAGGGCAAGTAGGTACAGAGGTGAGGTTTGAGTCCGTCTTTGTGTAGTTCACAAACCCAGGCTTTTACCTCCCTGGTATTCGCTGCCATCCTGATCCTGAGTTTTCCTTAAGATTTCATCTGCAAAAAGGATTTTGTTGCTAAAACAATGTTCAGGAATTACTGTATTACATCATATTTTCTTTCCTGTGTAATTTAGCTCTCTCCCGAGTGTTCTCAAAAAATCATTTGTAAATCTAGACAGTAACTCCCTTATATGTACTGCTGTTTTTTTCAGTAAGGAAAGAAATTAACTGTATCATTTTTTATTCTGGAAAATAAAAACCTGGAGGGAAAACAAGAACGTGTAGGGGGTTATTTCCTGTATAGTTGGATCAAATGCAAAGAGCATATTAATTTAAAAAAAAAAAGATTGTTAATTTGAAAAGGCCCTACTTAAACAGTCGCCTATATTCAAATTGTCCATAAATACCAATCAGCAAGAAATTACTAAGTACTTTTATGTACTTAATACCATGCTTGGAAAAAACACAGAAAACTCCCTTGCCTATAAGGAAATTACGGTCTTAATTTGATAAAAGACAACATCAAATGCAGCAGATAAACTGCAATGTGAAAATGAGTTGCTAAATATTATGGGGTGAGGTGAAGCAGTGGGATGTGGAGTGTGTCTTCAATCTATAGGAAGAAGGAAGAGAAGGTGCCATCAGTGTCTGGGATTGTGACAGCCTCTGTGTTGAGAGCAGGTATTAGTGACCAGCATCCATTATGTCACACTGGAATCTGATTCAGTGAAACAACTTACAGCACAGAAAAGTACAGATTATAATAGCTTTGAAATTTGGGAGAGAACTGGTAATGACTTTAACTAAATGGAGTATGAGATAGAATCGGAGTATTGTAGGCTCACCAGATAGATTTGAAGATGTTACTTCAAAATTATGTTGGAATTCAGTTGAGCTGCTTTGTGTGTTCTGGTTCTTAATGAAGCAGGTATTTTCACTTTTTAAAATGTGCATGTTGCTTTTAATTTTTTATTTGTTGTAACTGTCTTTATTATGAAAGCAGTACATACCCATTGCTGAAAAGTAGAAATCCATACTTCAGTAAAGGTGGGGAGGTACTTCTAGGTCAGGAGTCTATAAAGGTAACCATTTTTAACTCCTGGTTAAATCCTGCACTCACTGGGTGGTAGGCTTCTGACCTCTCAAGGGCAGTGGTAACACTTCCTGGCATTGAGGTTTTAAATAAAAACAATTCTGCATCAGGAACTAGTGCTTGCTTTCTATCTATCTATCTATCTATATATACATAGACATACATATATACATGTATGTATATACATATATGTATATACATACATGTATATATGTATGTGTATGTATATATATTTGTATATACACATGTATATATATACATGTATGTATATATGTATATACGTATATATATGTATGTGTGTATATATATATACACACACACATATATATACACACACACATATATATATATGTTGTTTGTTCGTTTGCTTTATTTTTATTCTTGGTGGGTTTTTGTTTTGTTTTTTTGTTTTGTTTTGAAAATTACTTTTAGTTGTCCTGTGCTGCCTTCTTGGTGAAGAGTACCATTGGCTCTTTATTGGTGAGCATCTGGGAGACTCTCTGAAGTCTTCTGGTGGCACTTCCTTCTCCTCACAGCAAGAAGTCGATAGGAATTTACCCAGTATTCTCACAAGCCTCCCTACTTTTCCTTTTCTCCTTTTATTCTCTTCATCTCTTCTTATCCTTCTTCTGTGGCTAATGTAATGGTCTTTCTCAGTGTCTCCCATTACTGATGTGGGTGGGCAGGAGCTGGCAGCCAGGGATGGACATGGCCATAATTTTGGATGAGCCAGTCATAACTTTGGCTTTGGCTTTGGCTTTGGTTTGGTTTGTATCTTCCTAGGTCAGTGGATGCTGGTTAATGATGGGTCTCTGCTAAATTTAGATAGAGGAGGTAGAGACTGGGGTCTGAGTCTCCTCCTTCAGCCTGGTGGTTGTTACATGTCATGGAAGCTTATGTACTGGTAGTTTAGTAGGTTGTGGATTTAGGGTCGAACTTGCATTACATAGTAGAAAGTACTGGCATTTTGAACAGTTATAGGAAAACAGAATTTATAAATTCAGGTTTGTCTGTTGGCTCTTTATTTTAGATCTGGGATCTGGCACAGATATTTTTTGCCACATGATGCCCTTCTACAGCTATGACATCCCTCATACGTGCGGACCTGATCCTAAAATATGCTGCCAGTTTGATTTTAAACGGCTTCCTGGAGGCAGATTTGGTTGTCCCTGGGGAGTCCCCCCAGAAACAATACATCCTGGAAATGTCCAAAAGAGGTATGAAAATGTGCATTTCATAAGACACCATCGAACAAAGTAGCAACTCAGCTGCTCATTGCTAAAGGGTTCAGTAGCCAACATTATCCATGTTCAAGGTATTCATTCAAACCAGATTTCAAGCGACTTAAAAATGCCAGAGCTTTGTGCCTTTTATGTGTTAAAATTTAATGGAAAATGAACAATAGGTGATCAATATACAATGGAGAACCTATAATACCCTGTTATTACCATCTCCTCTGCCCTTATTATAAAAACCATCTACTATGTTTGATTGATTTCATATACTTTTGTTGATAATAAAACTTCTGGTCTCTATTGTATAAATTGGTAAGAAAAGCAACCCAACTGCAAAAACACATGTATTGAAATGGAACACGTAAAGAGTGTAATTATCTGTTCCTTTAATAACAATTTCAATAATAGTAAATGCTGCCCAGCTCTGATGAATACACTCTTTCAATATTTCTGACATTTTTGGCTTATAGAAAATTTTAATTAGGAATATTTATATTTAAACATATTTATCTAAATAAAAATCAAAGGAATGAATCACTCTTTTAAGAAGAAGAAAATTAATGATAGAAGCATCTCATTCTATCTAGTTACCTATACTTCTAATTTGGGTGCTTATGAAGCTTAATTTCTTCACTTAAAAATTATTGCCGTATAACGCATTTAAATAAAACATTGTGTGGGGCACCTGGGTGGCTCAGTCAGTTAGGCGTCCAACTTCAGCTCAGGTCATGATCTCACAGTCTGTGAGTTGAGCCCGCGTCGGGCTCTGTGCTGACAGCTCAGAGCCTGGAGCTACTTCAGATTCTGTGTCTCTCTCTCTCTCTCTGCCCCTCCCCCGCTTGCGCTCTGTCTCTCTCTATCTCAAAAATAAATAAAAACATTTTAAAAAATTAAAAAAAAATAAATAAAACATTGTGTTATAATATAGAGGCCCAGTCAGTTAAGCATCTGACTTCTGCTCAGGTCATGATCTCACGGTTCATGGGTTCAAGCCCCATGTCAGGCTCTGTGCTGACAGCTCAGAGCCCAGATCCTGGTTCAGATTGTTTCTCCTCCCTCTCTCTCTCTCTCTCTCTCTCTCT